TTCACCCATGTTGTTGTGTGTAACAGTGGCTGGTCTTTTTATTGTGCTCAGGTCCTTTCCAAGCCCTTTGGAGACAGGGACTGTGCCATAACTCCTTGCACTCCCCATCCCCTGCCCCATGGCACTTGTACAGAATCGTGCACACTGGAAGTGCTTCAGTGGATGAACGAACATATGAGTTATTTAATCAATCAACAAGACATTTAGACATAGTCCAGTTTCACTTTGCTAACCCAGACAGTCTCTTATGTGCTCACAAACACCAGTGTTACATATCCTGGGGTGAAGAAGCCTGCCTGCTCTCCTGTAGGAATCCAGGGATCCGCCCATTTGCAATCGTACCGCAGTGTTTGCTGCATTCGTGTAGCGGCGAGGTACGGGCGAGAAAGCCAACTGCTGCCCTGGGTGGGCTCCAGCAGGGCTGCGAAAGAGTCAACCTCTGGGCTTTGTCTCCTGCGGGCGGAAATGCATATCCTCTATCTTTGCAAACTGTAAACCTCACACTCCTCCGCTTGATTTATTAAATCACCGTTTAAAGGTCAGCCCAGAGAGCCAGGGGCCGCATGGAATGTTGGGTGGCCAGTTAGTACCCAGACTACAGCAGCGGCGGCGTGCGTTCCCCGGCAGTCACGGCAGAACAAACAGGGTTAGTACTGTGGGTTGTGCCCGAGATGGCTGGGACCTGCCTGAAATGACTGCCAATTAAGCCCTTTAATGTCCCCGGCATACTCTCTTACCTCTGTGTCTGGTGATTGTGATTAAGGGCAAGACACCGTGGAGCAGGCCTCGGGGGAGGAAATACATTACCTTGGCTAGTTCCGTGGAGCAAGCATTTCGAAATTGATCCTATCACCATTATTTCTGCTCGGACAGCAGCAAGATCCTGTCCTTTCTAATATTGCACGTGTTTTGAATACAAACATGCTTTTCATCCTTAAGCTATTCAAATGACATTCCTTTCCTGCTGCAATCTAAATTTTATATAGCCGCATAGCACACTTTATGATGCTTTCCTTCACAACGTGGTGTTATAAAATGGGGCATATTTTGTATCACAATGGGGAAAGTTTTCTTTCAAACATATTTCCCAAAAGATGGTGATTCCTAGGGTGAGCATAACATATAAAGAAACTGGTGACAAGAAACAGAGGAAATCTATTTGTGGCTTCCCCAAGCTAGACATTTTCTGTTGATTTTATTCATGTTTCTCTTTAAAAAGTTAAAGATCTATAGAAAGCATGATAAACTCCAATAATGAGAGATTAAGTGCCAGCATTTTTTCTTTTATTCTTTATAGCAATTTTTCAAGTCGCTTTATCAAAGAAACCCTATTTACAAGGGCAGAAAAATGAAAGGATTTTAAATAGAAAAAAAGGCAGAAATCACAACGCAGTCATTTTAAAGAGTTTAGATCAGCTAAGTGGTATTTTAGCTCATGAATCCCAGGAAAGGTGTTTTGTAAACCGATGTTTAGAGTAGTGCCTAAAAGGGGACATCACCAGTTACGGGTCCAATGGTAGCTTCCAGTTTCTTTTAGATTGGGAGGTTTAAGAAATCTAACAACAATCATAGTCAATTGCCATCACTAGCTGTCCAAAGGAAATGTGCTCGGTAACAGTCTTCCTGGTGTAAATCAGTTCAGATTGGTGTCCTCAAAACACGAGAGGTTTACTGCATGAACACACTGCAGATTGCGGGCTGCAATTATCAAATTCCACAGAGACATATGGAAGCAGCAAATGCCACGGGCTGCAGTGTGTGTTATGAGTAGAGCACTATGCAGACTGGAAGCAGATTGAGCTTTGGTCTGAAGTAACTGTGTGAGTTGGCAAATTATTTAACCTCTCTGGGCCTCAGCTGTTTGCTGAATAATAACCACCATCTCAGGGGGATTTTTTAATTATTATATAGTAGATATCAAAGGCCTGTCATAGGGTAGGGATCTTGCATGTGTTTATTTCCTTCATCCCTCCTTGCTTCAAAAGGATGCTGACACTGGTGTGTCTACATGATGGTGAGGTGACTGGGACCTGTCTGTTGTTCTGAACTAGGACTATTTCCATAGCTCACTGGTGGCAGGAGTATTTTGTTCACTTGTCCCCCCAGACTTATGCTTTCTTGAGGCCCGCCTTGTAAGAATTTCAGACTGTGCTTTTCAAAACAAATGTTCATACAGATCCTCCTGCTGTACCAGAATTTTAGAATAGTGCAATCGAAACTGACCCGGTCCTACCCATCTGAAGCTTTCTGATTCTATTGGCCCTGGAGAAGCAACAGCTTCTCAGTGGTTCTAAGAGTTATATTTTATGAGCTCTGTGGTAACGTGAGTATATTTTACTTTTTAACTAAATCACCTCAAACAGTCCTTTAGGGGATTACAGATAGAGTTCTATTAGTGAGTTTCATCCACATACTTCTATATTTGCTTTTAAAATAATTTGTATCTCCTAAGAGTGTGTTTTGTTGGCAGCACTCAATCCATTTCATGTTGGTGGAGAATATGCTTAAAGGAAAATAAATGCACCAGTGTGTATCAAGACCCAAAAGGCTTCTTCTAAAGAAATAACGACACCATTACAAACAACACTAATGCAGAAACATTTCTGGTAGGGGAAAGAAAAGTCAAGATTCTTTTTTTAAAACAGGTTTTCTAAAGTTGCTCATTTTACCTTTGCTTTGACACAGAGCAAATGCCACATGGGCGTTCAGAACAAAATGCTGGGAAGAGGATTTAAAAGGAGGATGACTGGACAGAATATTAAAAAGCTGCAGGCGCCTAGCTGAGGAAGGCTGAAAGTAGGCTAACCAAAACCCAGACACAGGCTGGGTTCAGGAGCCCCCAGAAAGCAGGCTGTAGTGGAGACTGAGGTGGCTATGCCAGGAGCTATTTTAAAAAAGACAAGAGATCTACATTCAGAAATACAGTTGATGTGCCCTTCTCCTGACTCCCTGCTTATGGCATCCAGCCAGGGTGAGGACTGCCCCACTCCACTCCATTCCTCACTCCACTCCAGATCACCTCCTTTCTCAGCCACCCAAAGGATGGCAGCAGGTTCCCCACAGGTTTCTTCCCTACAAGGCATTCCAGGGGCCCTGCAGCATCCATCATCCATGGCTGCCTCCCCCCTTTTGGGGCAGCATCCTCCTTCCTCTGCAGTCAAAGGCTTCAGCCAGGAGATGTGGCAAAAACGCTGATGGACTTAAGATCTCGGAGGGTGACCTGAAACTCCGAGGGAAGAGAGCTGGCAGAAAGAAAATGAATTCATGAATACTTAAGAGTGTGGTGTCTGTAGGCAGCCTCACACACAGTGAGTGTGACACACTGTGGCTTATATGGGAGAGGTTAAAACAAATCCATTCTGCCGCATTTCAGCCACGCTGGGTAATGGGGAGCAGGCAAAACTATGACTTATGTAGGTTCTCTCCCTCACTCCCTCTCTCTCTCTCCAGAGAAACCTTTCCCACTGTTGGATCACCTATGAATGTGAAGGCCAAGGATATGTGGGCTATAGGAAGTCATCAGAATAAGGGCCCTAACATATCTGTCAGGGCCAAGCCAACCAGGGAGAGCCTCATGGCTCAGGCTTGAAATCCTAGAATGATTGATGTGGATGGACCTCTTGATAGATTAAACAACAAATGCTCATGTTTCTAAAGTTGCATTACCTGAGACTATAATGTTTAGAAACCCCATGCAAGTTCTCGGCTGCAATCTTTCTCTCTACCACAAAGAGCGGGGGTATCAGAAACGCAGGGTTTTTTTAGAGCTGCAAAGAACCCCGGAGGTTAAGCCTCATCCCACCCTCCTGTCGGGCGAGGAGTGCAGTACCTCTGGGAGCAACTGTGGTACCCGCTCCAAGCACTTCACCCTCTCAGCCTCACCGGGAAAGCGGCTCCGGCTTTTCTATTTGAAAACTGTTAGCAGGTTTTCCCCTAGTTTGCTATTTAAAAAATTAGTAAGTTGCACGTCAAATGTTCCCCTTAAACAAATTAAGCAGAAATTAAGTGCTTCTGTAAAAAAATCTTAGTTATCCCATGGAAGTCTCTGCAATCCCTCCCGGAAACCAGGACTCCCCAGCATTATGTGTGTGAAATGCTCTGCAAACCGCAGGGCTTTATCAATGTGCATTAAGGCGTGCACACTGTTTCAGGTATCGGGGTGTTTCCTAAAGAAAATCCACGGATGTCTGACTGTATCTGTAATCTAATTATTAGAGTGAACCGGGAAAAAAATCATGCAGCTATTTGCCGTTCGCCCCAGCACGAGAGGTCTCGGGTCTGAATTCTCCTCCAGGGAGACGGCCCTCCGCACTCGGGGCTGGCAGCCGCAGCTTCCCTCTGACAATCAGCCACCTGCCTGACATGTGGAAATCATCAGGTTGGATGCTACAAGGTGTAAAAAGAGGGAAAGGGGCTTTTAGTGTGTCGGAGGTGGTGGTGTGCAAGCAGGAGTTTAGTTTGATGAAGATCCAGGCAGCGTGGGTCAGTCTGTAGGACCCGGCTGCAGAGCTCGGGTTGCCTTTGCAAGTCGGTTCCCGCCCCCGCCCCTCCCCCGGTTAGTTTCAAACTCATTCTCGGCTCTCCCCCACCTACATGTTTTAACACGCTAAAAACACCCGCGGCTTCATTCTCTAGAAAGAAATGGTAAAATCTAGGAACACTGAAAGGCTTCTATTAACTGCTCTAAGGGGTTAGAAATGCTAAAACCAACACCTGCAGTGCCGCAGTTTCACGTGTGTGTGTGTGTGTGTGTGTGTGTGCGTGCGCGCGCGCAGAAGCAGCGCATTAAAGAAAAAGAAAAACCGCCAGGAGAAAGGGAGAGGAATTAAAGAAAGTGCCAGAAACAGCTACAAAGAAATACAAAACTTTCCTCCCATATAGGCCTTATTCACGCAAGCTTAAACTTTTCACTTTGATTTCGAAAGCCCTAGAGGCACTGCCTTGTCACCTTAAACCTCAAGGGGGATGACGGCAGAGGCCCCCGGTGGGGAAGGGGCAAGTGAGGGGGGAGGGTGTCTCCGTGGAACCCGGGATACAGAAATCTAAGGTGTCAGTGGGGAGTGAGAACCTATTATTGGGGACGCGGCATCCGTGTGGTACGGGGTCAAGGGAGTAGCTAGGATGGGGGCGGGGAGGGTTGGGGAAGGGAATGAGAGAGGGGTAAGGGGTCTCAGGGAAAAATCCAGAGCCCCGGAGACAAGTGGAAAGGACGGTCGCCGCAGCACCGGAGCTGCCTGTCGCTCGCCCCCGCCTTCCCTTTTGCGCAGAATCCTCCCCTTGGCTGCAGCAGCGCGCTGCCCCCACTGGCCCGGCGCGCCGTGATCGATCGCAGGCTGCGTCAGAATGCTCCCCGCGTATAAATAGGGGTGACAGGACCTCGGCGAGCCGCACACAGCCATCCACCTTCCCCTCTCCCTCTCTCCCCCGTTCTTCTCTCTCTGTAGGCCCCCATCTCCGCCGCGAGCCGGAGGGGCTCCGACCGCCACCATGAGTTCCTTCAGCTACGAGCCGTACTACTCGACCTCCTACAAGCGGCGCTACGTGGAGACGCCCCGGGTTCACATCTCCAGCGTGCGCAGCGGCTACAGCACGGCGCGCTCCGCTTACTCCAGCTACTCCGCGCCGGTCTCCTCCTCGCTGTCCGTGCGCCGAAGCTACTCCTCCAGCTCCGGCTCCTTGATGCCCAGTCTCGAGAACCTCGACCTGAGCCAGGTAGCCGCCATCAGCAACGACCTCAAGTCGATCCGCACCCAGGAGAAGGCGCAGCTGCAGGACCTCAACGACCGCTTCGCCAGCTTCATCGAGCGCGTGCACGAGCTAGAGCAGCAGAACAAGGTGCTGGAAGCCGAGCTGCTGGTGCTGCGCCAGAAGCATTCCGAGCCCTCCCGCTTCCGGGCGCTGTACGAGCAGGAGATCCGCGACCTGCGCCTGGCGGCGGAAGACGCCACCAACGAGAAGCAGGCGCTCCAGGGCGAGCGCGAAGGGCTGGAGGAGACTTTGCGCAACCTGCAGGCGCGCTATGAAGAGGAGGTGCTGAGCCGCGAGGACGCCGAGGGCCGGCTGATGGAAGCGCGCAAAGGAGCCGACGAGGCCGCTCTAGCCCGCGCCGAGCTCGAAAAACGCATCGACAGCCTGATGGACGAAATCGCCTTTCTGAAGAAAGTGCACGAAGAGGAGATCGCCGAGCTGCAGGCGCAGATCCAGTACGCTCAGATCTCCGTGGAGATGGACGTGTCCTCCAAGCCCGACCTCTCCGCCGCGCTCAAGGACATCCGTGCTCAGTACGAGAAGCTGGCTGCCAAGAACATGCAGAACGCCGAAGAGTGGTTCAAGAGCCGCTTCACCGTGCTGACCGAGAGCGCCGCCAAGAACACCGACGCGGTGCGCGCCGCCAAGGACGAAGTGTCCGAGAGCCGCCGCCTGCTCAAGGCCAAGACGCTGGAGATCGAAGCATGCCGGGGCATGAACGAAGCGCTGGAGAAGCAGCTGCAGGAGCTGGAGGATAAGCAGAACGCCGATATTAGTGCTATGCAGGTACGGCACCATGCAAAACACAGTGGGGGGCGGGGAGGGAGCTGCGGGAGCAAGTTGTGGGGGTGGGGTGGGGGAGGGTGGAGAGTTGAGGACGCGCGGAGAAAGTGGAGACCAGAGATGAGACATCCGCATGCAGCTGTCAGGGAGTAGAACTTGGCTCCTCGGAGACTGTGTGGCAGGGGTGGGGCACTTGGAGGGCGGGGGTGGGGGGGCTCCACTGCAGCCTGAGGAGACAGTGCTCGGTGCTGCTGAATCTAGCTCCGCATTAGAGCTGCCCAGCCCTGCAGGGGTTGGGTGGGGTGGGGTGGGGTGGGTGAAGGGGTGGGAGCTGGGCGTTGCCTCGGGCCTGCCTCTCTAATGTCCTTCGTTAAACACAAGTCACTTTGCAGTACAGATTGGACCATCTGCTTAATAAATACAGCAGAGAGCTTTCATTAGTTCTGAAGGATACCTGTGACCAAGCATGCTCAAGACTAGTTTTATCAACCACACCTTGCCCTTAGGTAGACAAGAATGCAGTCAAAATTGTAGTAGGTAATGATGTTCGCAGTAAGACATTTCTTTTTAAGGATCTCCATTTTCTGGGAAGGAGAAAATATAATATAGGTAAATAGAAAATATTTTAGATACAATTATTACTGTTTTTTTTATCTAGCTACTTCCTACTCCTGTAAAGAAATGGAGTAATTTCTTGCTCGTGACCTGGATAAAGTTAACTAATGAATATGAAACAAAGCTTTTTGTAATCAGTTAAAAAAATTTTGCAGACATTTTATGATGATTCTTAGACTGTAGTAATTAAAAGAAAACAACAAAAAAATTTCTTCTATCAGGTTTTTTTTTAAACTATTTTTTTGTTTTCATGCTTCCGAGTTGGATTTTTTTTTTTTTTTTAATGCAAGGAAGGAAAGGTTAAAAAAGAGAAAAGGCAGTTGCTTTAGGGGAGGTTTTATCTAAGGGGTGCACTTTGGTTTTAAGTAGGTTAGGCCTTTGGAGCTGTACTACAGTAAAATGATAGCAGGTGGGATTTATGACTGGATTTTTTTTGTCCTCCAACAGGACACAATCAACAAATTAGAAAATGAATTGAGAACCACAAAGAGTGAAATGGCACGATACCTTAAAGAATACCAAGACCTCCTCAATGTGAAGATGGCTTTGGACATTGAGATTGCAGCTTACAGGTGAGAACAGAGTGGAGTGGTAGCAGCCATTCAGGTTTTGGAAGAAAATCAGATTTCATTTATATTGAGTCAGAAACCTTCAAGAACAGTCCTTTGAAATAATGGTTTGCTTTTTGGATTTTTCTAAGAAGGTATTTAGACAGATACAGAAGAATTTGACCCTGTGTCGTAAAGAGTTATAGTCTTAGTTTCTCATTACATTTTATATCGAATAGACGGGGCTATTTTAAGTTTGTTTGTTTTTCTGTTTTTTTTGTTTTGTTTTGTTTTGTTTTCTGGTGCCAGGCATGACATCCCCAGTCATGAAGTTTCCCAGCCCTGTTCCTGCTCTCCTTTGCCTTTAGGGGTGGCATTAGGGGAGGATGATGAGTGGTGGGCTCAGAGCAGGCACACTTCCTATGTTCCTGTTTATTAACCCCATCCCCTGCCTTCCCAGGAAACTCTTGGAAGGTGAGGAGACCCGACTCAGTTTCACCAGCGTCGGAAGCATAACAAGTGGCTACTCCCAGAGCTCTCAGGTCTTTGGCCGATCTGCCTATGGTGGGTTACAGACCAGCTCCTACTTGATGTCTGCCCGCTCCTTCCCGTCTTACTACACCAGCCACGTCCAGGAGGAGCAGATTGAGGTGGAGGAGACCATTGAGGCTGCAAAGGCCGAGGAAGCCAAGGACGAACCCCCCTCTGAAGGAGAAGCTGAGGAGGAGGAGAAGGAGAAGGAAGAGGCTGCTGAAGAGGAAGGAGCTGAAGAGGAAGAAGGTATGGTAAAAAGGAAATTCTTACAAGGTCAAGTGCAGTCAGGGCATGGGAATTTGCTAGGACATGGCTAAGAGAAATGAAGCCTTGCTTATGCCGAGGAAGTTTTTTTCATATATTTCTTTAGAATCTTAATTAACACCTTTAGTTATTCGACAAACCCTTCGTAAGTACCTGGTTTCTCAAATTGGCTGTCCTCTCTGCTTAGCTTGGTAGCTTTGTGAAAATAACATTTCAAAATATCCTCCTCCTGCTGTCTTTTTATTCTTGTTAAACATTTAAAAAATCTATTTGACCCAGCAGTTTGGTAGCCTTAAGAACAAAAATAGGTTGTTTTTTTTTTTTTTTAAATACTTGTTTGCTTTTTGGCTTTTTTCTAAGAAGAAGGTATTGAGTTCAGTGGCCAGCACCGTCAGTTGTATGTGTGTTGGGGGACGGAGCTGAGAATTTCGGGGGACGGAGCTGAGAAGTTTGGGGGAAGCTTTCTGACAACTGGAGTTCCACACAAAACTTAGCAGAAATGTTTTGAATGCCTTGCCCTGGATTTGGAGTTTGTACATTTTCTTTTTATGTTAAAGCTGCCAAGGAAGAATCTGAGGAGGCGAAGGAGGAAGAGGAAGGAGGTGAAGGTGAAGAAGGAGAAGAAACCAAAGAAGCTGAAGAGGAGGAGGAGAAAAAAGACGAAGGTGCTGGGGAGGAGCAAGCAACTAAAAAGAAAGATTGAGCCCCTCTGTCCTTAATCCTTCCAGGAAGAATTCTCCCGAAATCAGGTCAACCCCATCACCAACCAACCAGTTGAGTTCCAGATACTATATGAATTAAGAAGTTCAATATATGTATAATTCAGAGATGACTTAGGTTGGACATTCAATGTTGTGCTATGACTTTTCTCCTTATGCAGAGTATCTGTTTGCTTGCAGAGTGGCTTCCTGGCTTGCTGCCAGCTTGTGCATGGTCCACGCTTACGAGTTCAGGATCTATGGCAATGTGAATAATTCAGATGTTTACAATTAAAGAAAAAACACACATGAATAAATGAATTCACTGATGTTAATGTTAAACTTCATGGTAAAAATAGTCCTTTGAACCTTTGGTGGTTAGAAATTAAAGACCTCGAATCATGTGCAATACATAGTAAATAAAGTTACACTGAATGACATTTCTTGCTGTGGTTGTTGACTTAATTAAAATATCTTAAAGCACCAGTATAAGCCAAGGGGACTATCAACCTCCAAATTTTTTTTAAGTCCCCAGTTTTAACAATTACAATGGATATTTTTTCCCCCTGATTGGTAATTCTGAGGGATACAGTTAGGTCATGACCATTCATGACATCTCTCCCCTCAAAAATTTTGCTGATAATAAACTTGAGTAAATGGGAGTCTCTGGGATTCTTCTTTTATAATTAGCAATATACTCTGTCCCATAAAAGGCACTATATAATGTTGGGAATGGCTTTCTTGGGAGGCAATGGTGTAATATGATAAATACACCTTTTGTGGTAAATAGGTGATTTAAATAATTAATGCAGTGTGTTTAGAATATGAATCCCGCCCATCCATTACTATAACTACATTATTTTAATATAGTCCAAATATCATGGGCAGAAGTGGGAACCCAAGCAATTGATATAATTAGAAGGAAATCTTTTTTTCCATGTATAATTTTGGGGGTAAGAATATCAAAGATCATTTGCCATTGCAAACATGTTGCCTGCAATCCTGAGCTCATGATTCAGTGTGTTAATAGCTTGATTCCGTTGCCTCAAGTACACAACATTTAATGCCACCCACTTTAAACTTTTTTAAAAACTACAGATAACAGATAATAAAATTGTTATCAGTCAGTAAAGGGAGGAGATTATACCTGTATGTTGCATTGCATTGCTCTGCATGCCTTTACTGGGAAATATTTGGATTTCAGTGATAGCTCTAACTGGTTGGACATTGCATCAAACACACACCCCATTCATCCTCCCTGTTCACTGTAAAGTCATGAAAGCTCTTGCACTTGATGTGGAATGTAGATGAAATTACTGATTATCCGCTGTTCTGCCTTTGTTCTTACACAATTGCTTTGTCAGCTGATTTTGTTCCATATTTGTTTTTTAAATAACTTTCAAAAGCAGCGAATTTAACCTGAGAGCAAAGTGGTCTACATTTAAATTTATTTGATTCTTCACACTACCTATTTCTAGTTAAATATATGTCACCACACAAATAGGTAAAATAGTTCATCACGATGCTATGGATTTGAACTATGAAGATTCTCAGTATATTGGTTTCTGTAAAGACGAGGAGTTGCCTAAGAAACCAAGCTTTTCACATTTATGTTCATTAAATATGGGATGCTACACATGATAAGTCTAAGACAGATGCAAATTACATGTTAAAAAAAAGTAACTTTAGCCAAATGGAAACGGTTGGTTTCAGAATTACTTGAAGTAACAACACTGTACCATATTCTATCCTGTGTGCCATAATAAAATACTAAAAAAAACTAAACTAAATGGATTTGAAGTCTTTAAAAACATTTCCTTAAGTTTGGTACCTGGCTCAGTACCTTTGTCTCTTCTGCTTTCCCCAAAACTCCAGTTTTCTTTTAGTATCCCCGCTCCCAGTTCATGACACCACTCCCCAGTCATCCAGTGCTGCAAACCAGAGACTGGGCAAGCATGACATCATGCCTCCCATTTCCTCTCCCAGATCCCTCTGGTCTACTCTAACCAAGTTTTACTGATTTTGTTGCCTATATATCTTGAATCTATCCATCCACACTTCTCCATTTACCCTGACACCACCCTAGGAACCTCCCAGTGTCTGTCTACTAGTGTCTTTCTTCACTAGAACATTACAGTAAGCCATGCTTTAAAAAGGACATTTTGATCATGTCATCCCCTTGATTAAAACCCTCCAATAGTTTCCCATTTTTTAAAAGATTATTTATTTATTTATTTGACACACAGAGAAAGAGAGAGCACAAGCAGAAGGAGCGGCAGGCAGAGGGAGAGGGAGAAGCAGGGAGCCTGATGGACATGGGGCTCGATCCCAGGACCCTGGGATCATGACCTGAGCGGAAGGCAAATGTTCAACCGACTGAGCTACCCAGGCACCCCAGTTGCCCATTTCTTTTAAGATAAAAATCAAAATCTTTAAACTGATCTTGAAAAACTGCATTGATCTGAACCCAACCTCCTTCTCAGATCTCATCCTCTCTGTATCCCCTTGTCCCTTACTTCCGGTGCTTCAGTCACACTGGTCCTCTGTTCTTCCGCCTGTTACAGGGGTTTTGCTGATTTCTCCATCTGGAGCACTCTTAATTCCTTCCCTCCTTCTTGCCCAGTTGAGGTTCAGTTGTCATTCCCTTGGGGATGCCTTCCCTAACTGGGCTAAATTCCTCTACTAAATGTGTTCTTAAGACCATGTAGACTTTGTAGACTTTTACACACTTGTAATCAGCATCTGTTTCCATGATCATTTGATGAATGTCTGCATTCCCTGCTAGAGTGTGATCTTCAGAAGAATGGTAATCAGCCTTCTTGCTCACCATTTTATCCCAAGCATCTAGCATTGTTTCTACCATAGTAGAGCACAAAGAAATATTGAATTAATAACTTCTTGACAGATTAGAATGCCTAGAAAGCCAAGAGTATGCTGTTAAGCAGTCCCACTCCCAGTTCCAAAACCTCGTGGAAAGAGCAGAAATCCAAGAATTTATTCTGGATTCTAGTGTTCTTGTTTTGGAGCCCTGGCCGTATCCCCATCCCCACCCCACTCCAGCCTCATTGTTTTAGCTGCATATAGGTTCAATGGTTGATGTGTCAGATCCTTTCTAGATTCATGATTCAAAATTCCTGAAAAACTTGTGGAAGTTTAGGCTAAATGGGAAATATACATATAATTATGATGTCCACACTAAAATCCATCACATAAAGGGAATTGCTCAACTTAGTGTAAAGATTCATTCCTAGTATTAAATTGGTAAGCAATCAATCTGATTACTTCTTTTTCTCCACATGGAGATTTTAATGCTGTCAGAATAGTTGCTGTGTCCCAGGCACTAATCTAAGTGCATTATATGTATTAACTCATCAATTCCTTTCTTACATCAATGTTCTTAGTCCAGCATGATTGTCATCCCCATTATGCTGATGAGAAACTACAGTTAGGTAAGTTGACCAAGGTCACACAGTTTGTGGAAGGGCTGGGATTCAGCCTCAGCTCTAAAGTCCATGCTCTTAACCAATACATCCACTGCCTCTCCTTGGCAGTCAGGTTGGGATACATCTTTGTGGAATCAGAGCAGATCTTCACAGGCGTGTGTTGTGACAGTGGCCTGGGAATCTGCATACAATTATTGGAATTCTCACAATGCAATTCTTGTACTGGTCAAGGGGCACATTTGCATTTGCAATGTCTCACTGTAGTTCCTTGGGATGCTCAAGCTTTTCTTTAATTCCTTTGATTATTTATGTCCGTATCTTAATTCCTCTGCTTAACTGTAAGCTGTTGGAAGGCCGGAACCAGGGTTTGTAAACAGAGATAAATTTGAAGTTTATCTTCAACAATCATCAATTTTCAGGGATGTTGATTCTCATGGTGTTATTCTATTTGGTCATAGCTTTCTAGTTTTGTTCATATTTCACTGGCTCTATTGCTTTTTCTCTTTCTGCTTTTCCTCTTCTTCATCCTCCTTCCTCTTCCCTCTTCCATGTTTTCTTGTTAAGCTATTCCAAATCATTTTGGGAAGTGGAAAAAGGTTGACTAAATAAATAAATGTCTTGGTTTACTTCTACAACATCCAACAAAGTGCCTTGCATTTAGTAGGCATTTAATAAATATCTCTGGAATGGTAAAGGTTTTAATGTTTATAAGAACTTACCATACATATGGCCAGGATGAAGAATTTCTTCTTTCTCTCTTGGAAACGGAGTGTGAGATATCAGAATTGGTCCAGCCATGGTTCATGTTTGCAAGGGGGTTCCAGTGGATAATTCTGGGTATTTTCATCTTTGGAAAATGTCCAGCAGAATGGAGTGCAGTGAATTACACAAACTATGCATGGGGGCCATTTTCAGTTAAGGTCTTCTAGAAAATTCCCAGCGAAGGTCTTATATGAGAGCTAGAAAGTCAAAAGGTAAAGCATCATGAGAAAAAGAAAATTTCAGCAGCCCCAGAATGTAACTGTTGGTAGCCTTTTAATCCTACTTCAATGTAGATAATTACTTGTATAGAGGGTTTTAAAAATATAATGTAACCACTGTATTCAAAACAAATTTAAAATGGAAAAAGTCACATTTCCTCCATTCAAACACCATTATTTTCATTTATATAGTCTTCTTGCTTCTATTTATGCATATTTAGACATAGCTTGTCCATTCATTTCACTCATATTAATCATGTGACAGGCCGTGTTCTAAGTACAAGGAGTAAGACAGACAATATCCTTGCTTTCAGGGACTACAGTGGGGTATGTGTGTGCATAAACAGACAATAAACAAGGAAATTCATTAATAAGTAGGTGACATTGGATTCAAGCCAGATATGCAGTGATCTGGGGAAAGAGTGTTCCAGGTAGAGGGAAGAGCAAGTGCAAAAGCTTGGCTGGTTTGAACGCAGAAAAATGCCTTCAGCTCATTGCTGAGTATTAAGAATTAGAGGAGAAGACAGGGTGGAGAGTAAAAGATGGGGCAAAGGCCAGATTATGCAGGGGTTTATAGGTCAAGGAATTTCAGTTTTATTCCTTGTGCAATAAGAACATTTTGAAGGGGTTAAGCAGGGGAAGGTGGCATGATCTGATTGCTGCTTTATGAGGACCACTCTGGCTCCTGCATAGAGGATGGATTTTAGGAAAGCAAGAAGCAAAGCAGAGTGACTAACTTAAAGGCTGTTTTAGTCCAGATGAGAGAAGGTGGTGTGATGACTCAGCAGAAGGCAGCAGTAGCAGACGTAGCATGTTGTGGGATGATTTAGGAAATTCTTGAGGTAATATTTTAATGACAGAGTGAATGCACGGAGAGGGAAAGTAGTAAACGGTACCTTATTTTTGGTAAGTACACAATATTCATCAAATTAATATGCAGTAAGCATTAGCTATTGATTTCTGTGTAACAAATCACTCCAAACCTTAGTGGCTTAAAACGATCCCAATCTCCCATTATTTCTTAGTCTCTGCAGATCAGGAATTTGGGAGTGGTGCCATTGGGATGTTCTCACTCTGGGTCTCCAGTGGGGCTGCAGTCAGACAGCTGAGGTTACCATTATCTGAAGGCTTAACTAGGCCTGCAGAATCTACTTCAATGTGGTTCACTGACTTGGCTGGCGATTTCTGCTACATGTGGGGCTTTCCATGGGAGCTACTTGAGGATCCTTAAAATATAGCAGCTGACCTCCCCCAAAGCAAGGCTTCCAGGAAACCAAGGCATAAGTTGCAATATCTTTATGACCTAGACTTGAAAGTCACACACCATCATTTCCACTATATTCTTTCGGTCACAGAGACCAGTCTTTCTGATTCAGGGGGAGAAAGAACTACAAAAGGACACAAACAAGAGGTGAAGATCACTGGAGGTCACCACAAAATAGTGGGCATGTGATGATTTCTTTTGTGAATAATCATCCATTCAAGAGATTCTGAAACAATTCCAGCTTCAAATTTTCTTCTTTTTCTCATCAGAGAACTTATACTTAATTGATCAGGTGTCCCAATTTAAGTTTGAAAATATGTTCATGAAAATTATAGACAGCTTGGCAATGAATATCTTTATCAATGGATTTCTTCACGTTTGTCCTTCTATTGAAGTATTTCTTTAGTAAAGCCCCTAGGGGGATTATGTGTTAAAAGGGTATTATGCACATTTGAATAGCTCCTGATATGTATCCCCATATTATTTTTCTATAAAGCTTGATTGCTGTACTTCAAGGTCTTAGCTTTCCTGTGTGAATTCATTTGAAATGAAATATCTATTATTTTAGTTAATTGGGATAAATATGGTGGGAACTAATACATGACATATGGGTAGGTTGTCACGGGAAAATAAAAATGTTTCTTGTTTTGTGAGGTGGTCAAACCTATCCCAGTTGACCTCAGATTTTTTTTTTAATACCTTAGATTCTGATATAGGACACACATAATTTTAAATGAAACACTTCTAATAAGCAGAAGTTATGTTGATTACAGCTAGTCCTAAATATGAAGTGGCTTTAGAAAAAAACTTCAGAGGCTGTAGATGAGACTCAGGTTTCTTGTAGCTATTAAAGACATTTTCATTTGTGCATCGATGGCCTTTAATCCCTCTGCTCTTAGCTAAATGCCACTCTTTCAATCTATAACCACCCACATCTGTATAATTTCATATAGACTACGGGCCATTTCCTGATATGACCACTAAAAAACAAACAAACAAAACAAAAGAAAACAAAACCCTAGCAGGATGCTTCGGTGCAGCAAAACTAATATTCCTTTGTTACTCTGTATCTCCCCTATTACTAAAGACAGAAACCCT